ACGGGATAATACATTGTAGGTAGGTGATGAAGAAACCAGGTCTGTCATATCATTTCACGTCACAAGCTAGGCTCCACCAATCACAAGTATGGCGGTTGAAAAACGACCGTTTCGAATGGGTCGGTTCCAAAAACAGCTTTTTTTGAGTTTGAGAGGTCGTTTCAAGTTTTAATAGTAGCGCCATCGTTCTTTTCGTGAAATTTGCCATAAGAATCAGGCATCAATTTGCAAATCCCCGCACCTTGCAACAGGCCCATTGGAAACTGAATTTATTTACATCAAACGTGGAATTTTCCAGGGAGATGCGCTCAGTGCATTGTGGTTTTGTTTATCGATGAATCCCCTGTCTAATGCTTTGAGAGACACTGAACTTGGGTTTCACATTAAAGAGTGCAGACAAACTCTGTATATTCTCAGTCATCTGATGTTCATAGATGATATTAAAATATAATCTAATATTAAAATCTATTTCTCATCGCCGGGTGAGCTTAAGATCTTCCTGGTTGTTGTGGAGTCCGTATCCGCTGATATTCGAATGGAGTTCGGGTTGGAGAAGTGCAAAGTCCTGAATATAAATTGCGGAAAGGTGGCGCAAGAGGAGGAAGATCAGACTCTCCATTGTGCAATTGTCGAACAAATGGATGAAAATGATTCTTAGAAATACCTAGGATTTCGACAGAATCGCAGACTAAACCATAGTGACATTAAGCATATGGTTAAACTGCATTATGAGCACCGTCTTAGGGTCTTGTAACGCTCCAGTCTGAACTCAAGAAAAATGTTTATGGCTATTAATAATTTTGCTGTGCCAGTCTTGAAATACTCTTTCGGAATAGTCAAATGAACAACCACTGATCTGGAGAATATCAACATTAAAACCAGAGTGTTGTTGAGTAAGAGCCGGAAGTTGCACCCGAAATCCTGCAAAGAGAGAGTGACACTCGGTCGGGAAGTAGGCGGAAGAGGTCTACTGGATATCCACGAGTTGTGTAATCGTCAGGTGCAGGATCTTAGGACGTATTTTGCAAACAGAGAACACCGCTTACATCAGGCAATCGTTAGCACGGATAGGAAGTACACACCTTTGAATTTGGCCTCTCAGGGAGCTGTGTACCCACCGTTTCACACGGATGAACAGAAAGAGACCATCTGGGCATCTAAAGAGTTGCACGGAAGACACTATAGTCAGGTCAACCAGGATCATATCTCCAAGAGTCTGTCTTACAAATTTCTTCAGAGCGGGCAGTTGTTCCCGGAAACGGAAGGCTTTATACTCGCTATCCAGGAACAAGTCATTTGTACAAGAAACTATAGGAAGTTCGTCATTAAAGATGGGACCGTTGATGACTCGTGCAGGAAGTGTCATTTATGTCCTGAAACGATTGATCACATCACAGCAGGTTGCAGACTCCTAGCTGGTACCGAATACATACCAAAAGACACAACTCAGTAGCCAAAATAATCCACCAAGGGCTTTCATTACATCGTAACCTGTTTGACAGTGTGCCTCCAGTGTGCACTGTTTTAAGTTATTGCAGATAAGTTCTAAATGTATATTAAAATTCAGATTTTTTGTTATATAGAAGCCGAGATGTTTCATGATGTATTTAGTTTTATCCCCCCCCCCCCCCCCCCCCCCCCCCCCCCCCCCCCCCCCCCCCCCCCCCCCCCCCCCCCCCCCCCCCCCC